GGTCTCGATAGCCCACAGACATACCATAAACATTTCTAGGACCCATAATTGGTCTCCTTTAAATAAACTTTGGAGAAGGGTGGGATTAAATAAGTTTTGCTGAGTCCAAATATGTTAATTTTGTTATCATTTTTATCCTTTTTTGTTTTGTTTTGTTTTCTATATATGTTTGAAACACAAAATAAACTAAACTAACTTATGAAATGTTGTAAATAGGAGAGCAAAAGCGTGACAAACACTTTTGGCATGTTCGATGCATCAACTAACCAGGCTTCAATATCACATCCAGGAGGTGTCTGCAAATTTCAGGAACATCTCAGGCTTCAGTTYTCTTGTGTAAATGTGCCACATTAAAAACAAACGTCAAGGTGTAATTTATAGATCACACAGMGGTCCCCAGATCATTCTTATCCCGTGTGAATAAGGCTTTAGTTAAAGAAAGAAAACATTACCAGAGAAAAGTTCAGTCCCACATTAACTAGAGCTGACAGGGAAAAGTTTGTCCTGCCGACAACGCCAATTTCTGTCATGGTATGAAGGCAGAAACACGTTGGAATAATGCCAGAAAAGTCTGCGTGTAAGGTCTTAATAAATTATTTAATTCTGAGCAACAAACTAACAGGACCCGATCAGGAAGTTCTGTTGGCTCGTTGCTGACACGTCAGCGGACACAGCCAATAATATACACCATAACATGACGTGTTTATAACCAATCACAGATCGCCCCATGTACTCTCCAGCCTATCACAGGGCTCCCAGCTCAAAGAGTGTCTTATCAAACAAGAGAGGTCAGTCCGTTGCGGAGTCCTGTTGTCTGGACAAACAGATTAACATTGAACACGTGACACAGATAGATAATTAGTCCATAACAAACTTATATTTCCTCCAAAAGCTGCACAGAAATATCTGTGTTTAAGTCCAACATCACACACACTGGCATGTATYCTTGTTTTTCCTTCTTTCTTTTGTATCGCTGCATAAACATTTTCCACACTTTATTTTGACTCACATTCAGGAGGACAGTTTGAAACTATCATTGGCTCCTTTTGTTTGGACAGAAAAAACAAAAATGCTGTATCAACAATGTGTGGTAATGAGTAAAGCTTCTGGCTGTCAGATTKATTTAATACAGTATACTGTYTACTAACATTTWGATACTAAACTACACAAAGACTCTGATAACTTCATCAGACCATGTTCATCAGAACGACACCTTTTAAACTTCTAAACCCTGAAAATGCAGGAGCTTCCCTGGAAAATCACCCTAATTTCCCTCTGTGATCAATAAAGTAGTTTTGAATTGAATTGAAATACCCTGKTTTGCTGAGGACCTTGAATAAAGAACGTCTCTGATTCTCTCATGACATTTAGACTAAACCTAAACCATAAAATGCAACAGTTCCTCAAAACATAACATTTAGTGCAGAAGGTGTTTAATACTGACATGTTCAACCTTTAAATCTGACATAAAGTAGTCATGTTCGCTCATCTTGTAGTGACCCCCCCCCCCCAAAAAAAAAACCACTCTTAGGTTTTAAGAAAAGAAGTTGTCAGCCCTGCCCTGTGTTAGAATAATAAACGTAATATGTTTAGAGTTGTAAATAGTTGTGTTGTGAATGTTTGTCTCTCTGTAACATTACATAATGAGCAGCATTTGATTATAATTTATAGCTAATCTTTAATTTTTTTGGTAAACAGATCAGACTTATGTTCTGGATTTGTTGCATATTTCATAAATAAAATAAATGGAAACAATTCAGGACGCACAAAATAATCTCTTTTCAGCAAAACCCAGGCTGTAACACTTGTATTACTGCTGAGAGCACGATATGTCGATGCTTTTAAATCACTTTCAGTCCAGTTATTGTGCTTTAGGCTTCAGCTGCACTTCATTACTTTTTTGCCACGCTGACCTTTAGGCTAAAAGTGATGGAAGCTGCTGCACTGCACAATTATCCCTCCTGGACTTTTCTGCAAGTCCCCGTCCTTTTAAAGAGTGAGAAACAAACAGGTCTTACTTCTGGCTGATGTCTGGCGGAGCTTTCTGGAAGACCTGCTCCACAACTGTTGTCAGGTAGTCCACCTCCCCCTGGTGCTCAGCCAGAGCCACCTGCAGAGCCTGAGGAGACACACATCAGTTTAAGCTGTAATCAGCTAACAGCTAATTGCAGAACAATATGGTTTTTGTTTAGCAAATTAACTTCTTCATTC